GTTTTTTTTTTTTATACAACTGTATGGAAAGACATACCTGATATACTTTTTTTATTGCAACTAACTGGAATATGTATCAAAACCCAGTTAGGGAATGGAGTGAATGACAGAGGAAGATGGTTGAATGACAGAGGAAGAGATATGGAATGAATGTTTGAATAAACGTTTGTTCAATGACAAAGGAAGAGGTAATTTAAAATTCAAAAAAGATATAGCAGAAAATTAGAAAATTGAATCTCTAATATAACTGTCATATTTGTATCTCAATAATAAAGAAAAAGGATAATTTCGTAAGAGAAAAAATTATAATTTAACAAAAGTGTACATCATCACCAAATATTTATCCACAAAAGTATTTATACAAATATATTTTATATTGAGATACTTTTACACAAATAAGTATAAAATTGTGTACCTTTTCATAATTTTTTCTAACCTAAGTCATATTTAAACTCGAGCCGAGCTTAAGCCATCCATTGGATTTGATACAGGCCAAAAAAAGGCCCAGGATTGAAGGCAACAAATCCATAGCCCGTTAGGGCACTGGATTTTCAAGTTGGTCCATGGACCACAGTCCAAATACCAATACAAAGCCGTGTAGATACATCATCCAATTTTCATTGTTATCATGACCAAAAAAAAATTCATTGTTATCAAGTTGTTATCTATAATATTAAAAAAAAAAGAAAAAAGAAAAAAGAAAGAAAGAGTGGTTATGTGGATGCCTGTCAATCGAGAAAGTGATTTTGAATTAATTTCTGGGATTTCAAGTTATTTTACTCTCTTTCAAACAATAGACTTTTTAATCATTTTTGCTTGTACTAGTGCCCCGAGAAATTCTTAGATTTATTGTAATATGAGATTAAATATCATAACACTAATTTGTATTTTACTTCTTATTAGTGCTACTGAGAAATTTTGTTATATCTGTCTGTTTAGAAAATGTCTACAATACCTTTGTTTTTTAACTTTAATTTATATTACTTTCTTTTAAAATTGCAAAAGATTAAATGCAATTAACTAATTATAACTCCCATAACCACCCATATGTATCTATTTTAGTCTCTTCCACTCCTTTTTTTTTCCTTATCTGCACACGGATAAGGTCTATGCACGATTCTAACAGTACGTATATAGAGAAGTGACAACGAAATGTAAACCCACAATCATTAAATCCAATGGCGAGACGGTGGAAAATTTTCATATGCATAACTCCAATTCACGTGTGTACAAAAGCTAAAAGGTCATGAAGGGGCTATGTCATTGACTGTGTCTCTTGTGGTATACGCAACTTGTAAGTGTAATACAGCCATTCAAGTGGACCTCCACCACCCACTAGAAGCCCACAACCTACAAGTTACTGTTACCCACCATTGCCCATTTTGAAAGAGACATGGTTTTGACCCCAAGAAAAGTCTTGACCCAGTTCACACTCCACCCACTTTTTGCCAATCAGTTGCACTAAAGATTTTGTAATATTTTATTTCGGTACCATTTTTTTTTTAATAAAATCATTTTTCATATGAATGTGTGATTTCCGATATAAAGAATACGTTTTTTACACTAAAAAGCGTGTTTTTGAATCATGTTTTGTAAAATTAAAAGAGAAGTTACAAAGTGCGGTTTTGAAAGAATAAAATTAAAAATTGTTGTATGGTAGTAAAACCTCAACTTTTGCCATTAATTTTGACTCACTTCCAACACCTGTTATGAGTAGACATGCACTGTACTCCAAGTCTGCAGTGGATAATCCGTTATATAGTCACTTCAACATAGCTTCATAATCATCATGGAGAAATGGAAAGGAATAGCAAGTTCACCATAAAGTATGGGTGTCCACGTGAGAAATTAATAGTCTAAATCCACAAAGAAAGTTCAGTTGCAGAGCTTAGGCACGTGAGAAATTACAAACACTCTTAAAAGCCAACCAAGTTATCATCTAACTCTCACACTACAAAGTTTTTAGTAAGAGCAGCGAAATTTTCTGTAAATCGAATCATAGGAGTTAAGAAAGATTTTAAATAGAACATTGCAAGCTACTAAACCACCTGATGACTCTCTCTCTCTCTCTAAATTATGTATATTTAGAATTCCTCGAGAATAACACACTGTCATGCTATTTGGATAATTCAACTTTACGTTATTTGGATGATTTGAGCTCTGCATTATTTGGATAACAAACAAAAAAGGATGTTGTTTTTTGCTTAATTATTAAGTTAGTTATTTGATTGGAAAGCTTTTGGTAGGTGAGAGTCTAATTATTCATAAGTTTTTAAGTAAAAGTAGCCGTTTCAGCTAAGCATGTAGCATCTATATAGTCATAATTCACAAAGGAGCCATTTGATTTATTAAAGTGTGCATATTCTTGAGATGAAAATTAATATTTTGAGCTTCATTCTAAATAGTAGGACCACAAAAACCCCAAGGCAATAAGTGACCACAATGGCACAAATTTCCATTTGGTGAGCTGTGGATTGCAATTGAAGGAACAATAACACAAATGGGCATTAGAAAAATACATTCCATCAATCATGTCTAGTTTCTTTATCTTGAATTATTTCAAGCTAGACATGGATCGAATTTTGATCCAAATTCAATTACTCGGATCTAGATTAATATGTTTTATCGATAATTTGAACTTAAATTCGAATTCGCTATCTTATATTTGACGGATTCGAATTTGGATATATCTATATTTGATCTGATTATGATCTAATGTGAAATATATATATTTCTATATACATATTGAAGAAATTAAGTGATTATTTACAAAAGTTTAGTTAAAATTTTGATGTACTTTGTTAAATTAAGTTATTCGGATCAGATCAAATTTTTTATTCAAATTTTGGATTATTAACGAATTCAAATATAGACCATAAAATAAAATTCGTCAAATAATTAAATTTAATTGAATTCGAATCACTCAAAAGTGAAATACAAATCTAAGCATTGGATCATAAGTTTCTATTTCTTGGGATTCAATCAAAAATTGTCCTCATCACACTTATTAAAAAATACAATTATTTTGTAAACTTGAGATACATACGATTACTTAAAACTGTTTGAATCGGGACAATCTAAGCATGTGTTACGATATTTAAATATGGGAGCTCAAGATATTAATTAATAAAACTCTATCATTTTTGGTTTTCCAAATGAATTATGAATTTTTTCAATTGTTTAAGTATCCCTTGACATGATTATCACTAAACTTAAGTCGCCAAATTCACTTTATTATTCAAAATTATTGAACCTATTTACGACCACATAATGAAAAATAATAACTCCCCAAGTAGTGATAATCATGTCAATAAATTGAAAACTATCGCAAAATAAAGTAACGTGTGTAAATTCCTTATTTATACACGATTGATGATTTACCATTAAGTGAAAGTGTAATGAAGAAGATTTTGATCCGTAACCTCCAATAAATCCTGGTTCCATAGTCTTACAAATTGAAATACATTAAATACATATTTACCTTAATTACAACACATAAAAAAATTGAATGTATTAGAAGAGATTAGGAGATGATTAGTAGGAATATACTCCAACCCTAAAGTAAAGAGCTGGAGGTCAGATGTTCGAATCTTTGCTAAATTCTAACACTATTCTAACGTTCGTTGCTACTTAGGCAATAAAAACATATATAAATGATTAATTTTACGTATCAATATAAAGTAACGTGTGTCGGATTATGATCCCTTCTAATTTGAAATTAATTGAAAGAACTTCTGGTTATCATTAAATGGTGAGAATCTACGAAAATCAGTAAATTTAGTTTTTTGTGAATTTTTTAAAATTTAATTTATTTTTTTATCTGTTGAAGTAGACAAATTCTCGTTACATTAAAAAAAAAAAAAACTCCAATTAAGATGTCACTATTGTATATAATTCCATTGAATATGATTGTATGAGACGTTTTTGTTTTCTCAAAATCAAAAAGAATCTTAGACACACACCACCCCCTCACACATTAGACAATGGTTGAATCCATCCAAGATTTCCACCTCAAACTCTTTGGCACTAATAACCTTGTGAATACCCCCACAGGAATCTCAAAACTCTCTCTCTCTCTCTCTCTCTCTCTCTCTCACACACACACACACAAACTGTTGTGTGTATTTATATTTATATATATATATATATATAACCTCTCCACAAACCAGACAACCCAGACAACTTCTCTGCATTACTCTGTCTTTATCTTGAGCTTTATGCACCAAAATCCGAGATGGGTCTTGGTTACCAGGCCTTGTCAACATTGTTTCTTGAAGCTCTGTTTGTGTCTCTGTTTTTCCAAGAAGCTAGAACAGAGCTAGTGCGAGGGTGTAATTTGTTTCAAGGGCAATGGGTAGTTGATGCTTCATATCCTCTCTATGACTCTTCAAGCTGTCCCTTCATTGACCCTGAGTTTGATTGCCAAAATTATGGTCGCCCTGATAAGCAGTACCTCAAGTATTCCTGGAAACCTGACTCTTGTGAGTTACCCAGGTACCCCATTTCATTACGTGTGTGTGTGTATATATATATATATATTGTGTCTGTGTGAGAAAGTGACCCCATTCAACTACGTTTAGAGTATAAGGCTTTTTTGACATCTTATCGTAACCAAGTTTTTTTCACTTGAATGAACTTTGCTATATTCCAGATCAAAAAAAAAAAAAAACCTATGTCTGTCCATGAATTGATTCAAATACGAGTTCGATTAGTTGAGTATGAATTGATGTTTTTTACTCATATTTTAAACCTGAATTCGTAATCTTATATCTTACGAATTTAGATTTAAATATATCTTTATTTGATTCAGTCCATTTCTATATAAATATTAAAGAAAATAAGTAATTATTTTAAGAAATTTAGTTGAAATTTAGATATAATTTGTTAAATTAAGTTATTCATATCGAATTTTTGGATTAGATATTGAATTGTTAAGAGATTCATATATGACTTATGAAAATAAAATTCATCAGACAATTGAATCGGATTTAAATTTAACTTTTAAAATCGAAACCAAATTCAAATCATTCAAAATCCAATCGTTAGTAGGGTCACAAAAAACCAACCAATCCCTGGTATTAAGGGCATAGAAACACACATACAAATTTGGTCAAACGACACACACCTATCTATACAAAAATACACACATTATTATATACACACATTAGTATTTAACTTGACTTTGATTAGCATATAACTCGAGATAAACTCGACTTTGATTAGCATCCTAAAAACAAGACTTGTGTGACTTTTTTTTTTTTTAATCTTTTTTTGGGTGAAGTTTTTTCAAGCATTGTTGAAAACAATTTTGCTAATGTAGGTTTGATGGTATGGACTTTCTGAGGAGATGGAGGGGGAAGAAAATTATGTTTGTGGGTGACTCACTGAGTTTGAACCAGTGGCAATCTTTGGCTTGTATGATTCATGCCGCGGTGCCAAATGCAAAGACTACCTCCGTACGACAGACCATACTCTCTTCTGTGACCTTTGAGGTCAGTTTAGTCTGTCCCTCTACGTTTCCAAAAAAATCAGTATTTTGATTATCAAACACTATGATTTAAATATTTGTGGGTACACCAGTTTTCAAATCTTATTTTCATAACTCAGTCAATTTTGAACTTATTTTTCAAATTCAACTTATTTTTGAAAATGTCATTTTCAATAACGATTAAAATTAAATATTTTTGTCCACAAACGTCATTACGAATGACGTTTTTCAAATCATCATTTGTAATAACGTTTTTTAACAATATTTTTTAACGGATCCCTAACAGACATGAAAAAAAATATAGGAAAAAAACGTCCAGTTGAATGACGTTTTTAAACACGTCATTCAACTTGACATTTTCTTCACTTTTACAAATTAATGATGTTTTTTCTACCCTTTAGTAGCCTACATTGATGTGTTCTACCCCTTAAGTATTTTTACATTGATATTTTCTATTCCACTTTAGTATGTCTCACACCATGATTCAGCAAACCAAACATAAAAAAATAAATAAATTTTAGAATTTAATTCCTTAGCGTTTTACATTGACGTTTTCTATCCCTTAGCCTTTTACATTGATGTTTTCTATCTCAAATGTCATAAAAACTAAATAATGTAACCTCATCTTATGTTTTTTCACATCATGATTCACCAGAAAAAAAATTAAATAAATTTTGGAATTTAGTTTCCTTTTCATAAAAATTTTAACTAATTTTATAATCGAAAATAAAATTCATAAAAACATAATTTAATTTCATATTATATTTAATAAAAAAACTTAAAATCGTGTTTTGAAAGCACAATTCTTCTATCAAAAAGTATGTTTTGTATATGTTAAAAATATCAATATTATAATCTCACTTTTCACGTCATAAAAGTATCCTAATATGGAGGAGCTTTTCCCCAAACTTAGTCGGCTCTAAAACTTTATTTATCAAACTCAAGTTTATTTTGTAAAAACGTCACTTTAAAGGCCATGGTTTTGAAAAACGTTTTATTTTTTAAATATTTTTGTATATGTTAAAATAATATGTATTCCAATTATATGTTATAAGTTCATTGAACATTTATAGTTGACCTACAAAATTATGTTGAACTTTAAAATATGAAAAATATTACTTATACATTATAACATAACAAATTTATTACATCAAACTGTAAGAAATACAGTCTGTCAATATTTTAGTTGATGTAGAAAACAACATAGTGTTGTGTGAAGGAGTTATATGTTAGTATTGTTTTGTGTAGATCATGTTATTTTAGTGTTAATTTTTACATGTGAAATGTAATGTACGTGTAATGTTGAAGTCAATTAGATTTGTTATGATGGTGAAGTTATGTATATGACAACTTGATTATAGAATACTAGAACAAAATATCTTTGTATAAATGACAATGTATATACAAAAGAAAACATTAGTACACAGTATAACAAAAACAAAATGCATCAAATACATGAATATCATATCATGTCCCACACGCAGATGGTCGCCTACGTCACTTTGGCTGTCTACGAACCTCCTGCTCAACATCTTGTGTCACCTGTGACACACCGACATCATCATGATGATGTGCATGCTGTGCACGCCCTCTGTCTGTCCCTCGCCCCCATCCCTGACCTTGTTGTCCACCTCTAACTCGTGGCCCGACTCGCACAAGGCCTGCACCGACAACTGTAGGATCCTGTGTCACTCCCTCCTCATCTAATAATGGATCTGATACGAGAGGCTGTGCAACAGAGGTAGGTATAGAATAAACTGCAGACGATATCGGGGTAAATGCCAATGCCAGTGTAGGTGTCGGGATAGATGCCGATGCTGATGCCGATGTCGGGGTAGATGCCGGTGCCAGTGCCGGTGTCGGGGTAGATGCCGATGTCAGCGCAGGTGTCGGGGTAAAGACCGGTGCCAGTGTCTGTGTCGAGATAGATGACGATGCCAGCGTAGGTGTTGGTGTTTGGCCATGTGCAATAGTAGGTGAAGGTCTCGATGTCAGTGTCGGTGTCGGTGTCGGGGTAGTTCCAAGTGTCGGTAGATGATCAAGTGCAGATGACAGTACCGGTCCTAGTGTCATGGTAGATGTCGAGGTCGGTGTCGGTATCGGTGTCGATGCGGTCGTCGTAGTGGATACATGTACCGATGCTTTTGTCAGTAAATGGTCAATTACAGATGCAGATGCCGGTGCCGCTGTCGGTGTCAGTGTCGTCTCAAGTGTCGGCGCAGCTGAAGGTGTCAGTACAGGCTCATGTGTCGGCCTAGCGATCAGTATAGATGCTGGGGTCGGTGAAGGTGCATGAGCTTGTGTCAATGTTGATGGTGAATATACTGGAGTAGTCCAATCTTGGTAAAGATGTGGAGGTGGCTGTGCAGATGTAGACAGTACGTTATCTGCCGACAATGAAGCTGCGTCGAGTTGTTGGTGCTCTCGGAGAGCTGTCAAACACGATGAGCTCATATCTGTCATACGTCCAATGGTGTCCATGCAACATGCAAAGTCTGGGTTGCCCTCATATGTAGTACATCCAGTGTGATATATTTGTGTAAGTGTATATTCCTACAAACAATATTGAAAAAAATTTATAAATGTATTAAACAATTAGTAACATTATCCATTCAAATTGAATAGTTAAGCATTTAACATCTTACTAAAAGCTCTATGATGCTCCCAACTGGCTGAAAATCGATAGTCGGCCTAGCGATGGGTGGACCAACAATACCATTGCATGTATACGTCGGTCGGATCCATCAGTCCAGTACTCAGATCTCCGATAATAATAGTATCTCTATGATGTGCCCACATCTCTGTATAGATCTGATGAACTACTGACCAATCTCGACCAGATCTACCTCAACGATTTACAGCATGCAAGGCCCGACTGGTATCGCATGGCGGTGGTATGCGCTGAATCAGCCCAAATTGTCGAGTAACACGATTTGAAAAATGCCACACTACGACATCAAAGCAAATCAAAAGGGCTCGTGTGCGCCAAATATCTTGCCCAATAAGGCAATAATCTGGCAGGCCACCCATTACATCAGCTGTATAGGGCTCCCATATCATCTGTAATACAAATTTTGAACACTCATTAATAAATGTAACGGTATTTTTAAAAAAATTGGGCAGAGTTTTCTTTGAAAATTGGACATTTCTAAAAATTTTTAACCTGTATACAACAAACCCAACTCAATTACAAGTATAAACAAATAAAAATTACATCCAACCATCTCCACATATATTTACTTCACATGTAAATTCATTGCAATCAACCCAACACACTAACATACTTAAACAAATAACATCCAAGTTCTCTAATCATGGTCAAGCCGATATACCTGATCCTCGTGCATCTGGTCCAACTGGTCCCGATAGTGATGTAGTACATACCGGGGCGTGTGCTGCTCCGAAAATGTGACATCCCATCTATAAATTTCACAAAAAAATGTAACTACATAATAATATGTAAAATGTAACTACATAATAATATGTAAAAAATGTAACTACATAATAATATGCAAACTTGTATAGTACAAACCTACAACCAAGTGGACCATCAAGTACACCGTGTGCATCAACCTCTTCATGTGCAGGACTCAAATCGACATCAACTCCTTCTAATGGTGGACCTTCACCATCGAGCGCCGCTGCTCCATGGGCTACACGCTGTCGTGGTAACACACGCTGTGGAACGATGTGAACCAGACGCTCCCATGCCCACAACTACATCCACAAACATTGAATTTACATTTGTAAAGCGACAATAACATAAAAGTATACAAGTCAGTAAAGAATGTAAACAATTACCTGAAGCAAAATTAATGGACCGCTAATATCCTTCGTGTCCCACTTAGTCGCGAGACACATCTCCCGATATAGTCATGCTAGGGCCACACTGCCCCAACTAAAACTGCCGGCAGCATATAAGTCTCCGAGCAACGGTAGGAACATAAGCTTTACCCTACTCGACGACTTGTCGCCGAACAAAAACCCCCCAATCAATAAAATGATGTACGCTCGGGCATAACAAGCTAGAAAACCCTCGGTTGCATCAGTTGGAATCGCGTGGCCCAAATGCTCGGCAAGTGCACTAAGTCGTAGAGTGGACTTATCTATCGCTCCATCGGCTGGTGTGAACCCGAGCAACTCAGTGCACATGACACTCCACTACTGTACATCACGGACGGTGTCTACACCACATACAGGTATCCCATCAATCGGCAGACCAATTAATACAGCTGTATCCTGAAGTGTGATGGTCGCCTCACCAATGGGCATATGAAATGTGTGTGTCTCAGAGCGCCATCGCTCTACAAGAGCAGTAATCAGATGTCAGTCCAGCTGAATGTATCTAAGGCGATACGCTCCATCAAACCCGGCTGTATGTAGATGCTGAATAACCTGATTGTTTGTGATGGTAACTCGACAAAGAGGAGCCTCTAATCGTCTACAATGTAACGGGGATAAGTCTATGCCCTCCCAAATAGCAGTCGTGCTATGGTCACCCTGTAAGGTAAGAACGGATCCATCATCGGGACCTGGATGAACTAATGAACGGGGATCACGATCCATGTATACAACCTGCATCAACACACAAAAAAATACAAACATTAGTTCACATATATATGCATGAGTTAAAAAAATATCATATGCTGAATAAAGGACTCAAACAATTAATAATGCATTATAATTTACATACAACATTAGAATGCACAAGTAACATTTATAGTGGATGACCTATTGAAGAAGCGGATTGGTTCTTTGCTGGACAAGTTCGGCGATCGTGCCCTGCTTGCAAACAAATACTACAGTGGTTCTGTTTACGCCCTTCTCTCGGAAAATCCATTTCATTTCGAATGCGTGAGGTCTTTGGACGTCCTCTAGCTCCTCGACGCAACGACCTATCAGGGCATAATGTAGGGCCATCGATAACATCCCAATAATCTTGGTGGTGCAGATGATGAAGATTAGGTGCCCAACTGGATTCAAGTGCATGGATGGTATATACTGGATCGATTAAATTCCAAGAACTAACATGGAAATACGAGCATGTGGCCATAACATGAGAACAAGACATTTTATAAATTATAAATTTTCCACAACTGCATGTCCGGTCATCAATACAAACAACATGTGTATTACCGTTATTACTGACCACCTCCGCAACTTCTCGTCGCATGTGAAATGGTGTAACAGTACACATTCCTGCTTTTACCTGATTGGGTCGCATAAACTCTATTGCTTCAGGTGAGTACTCCAAACCATCCTCTATGCACCGTTATGCATGTTCACGGCGTTCACAAAAGTATTTTACGAGCCGATAAAATATGAATTTAACACATGCAGTGATAGGAAGCATCCTAGCACCTTTCAATGCACCATTGAACACCTCAGAAACATTAGTTGTGGTTGTTCCATATCGCCGACCACCATCATAGGCAAGTGTCCACTGTTGTGTTGGAATATCAGCTAACCACTTCCATGCTTCAGGATTTATACTTTTAATTTCTTCCATTATCAAATTAAACTTGCGAATCTGATGTGCTGTCCCAGCCTTCCACACTTGATCTTTTAAATACGTGTTATTGTAACGTGTGTTCAAATTGTTTTGTACATGTCTTAGACAGAAACGATGATAGGCGTATGACTCACTCCACCCATAACCTTGTTTTTTAACCGCTGAAATTATACCTTTATGTCGATCTGAGATTAAGCATATACCAGCTCTATTTGGCACAACAGAGTGACATAGATGATATAGGAACCAACCCCAGCTTTCACTAGTCTCCTCATGAACAAAGGCAAATGCTAGAGAAAAAATCTGCTTCTGAGCGTCAATCCCAGTAGCAATAAGAAGCTTATGCTTGTACTTGACATTTACAAATGTGTCATCGATGCTGATTACAGGCCAACAATGAACAAACCCATTAATAGAAGCTTTGAATGCCCAAAACACCTTTCCAAATATATCGAATTCGGGAGCACGAGCCTCATATTACCACTTTACAATCGTCACAAGGTTGTATTTCACAAGAGCACCCATAAACCTCGGCAACATGTTGTAAAAACAATCTCAGTCACCAAAAACCTTGGCTATAGCCTTATTCTTCGCATTCCACACCTTCTTGTACGTTATCAAATAATGATACTCTTTTTTCACCATTTCAATGATGACAGACATTGTTACATCAGGTGTTGCCCGAACCACACCCTTAATCCATTGAGAAATAAAACCTGCATCAAGCTGACAGTGGTCCTGGTTTAACCTTGGGTAGAAACAAGTGTGAGGTGCCTGATATTTTGTGATTTCAAATATTTCATGTTTCGCCTTCAACGCCGCCTGTAGCCTCCATTTGCATCCACATTGTGCATACATCTTGCACCTTAACACCCAACGTGTTTTATTTGTATCAACAACAACATATTATTGGTGCATCTTAATTGAATACAATTTAACTGCCATCTCCAGGTCTGTTTTACTCCTGAACACCATACCCTTAGCCAATTCTGGTCTTGTAGGATCCCATGTTTTAATTCCTTGCAAAATGCACAATCTGTCAACTTCATTCTGGTTTCCCGATTCAACATTTGAGAAAAATGTTGACTCCGGCTCATGCATAGGAACCTCACCATCATCCTCAACAGAATTACCTTCAGCATCATAATCATCATCATCAGAGTCATCACTCAATACATTTTTTGGAAACTCTTCTTCTTCGTAATAATCATTCTGGTCATTAGCACACATTCATTCATATATATTATTAACAATCTGATGCAGTACAAGTGCTTGGACAGGGTCCACTGGCGCCGATGTTGGGGTCACTGTAATCATTTGCATCCCCTTGTTCCCTAGTCCAACACTATACTCTTGCTGAGATGAGCTTTCGAGAAACGTACTAGGCCCTGTTTCAGCCTGTGCATGTGTATATCGATTGTATTCTTTCATACACTGCATTGTTAAAGGGGTATAATAATTACCCACCATGGCTGAAGGGTCGAGCACTGGGATATATGGTTGTTGGCTAAGCATGGAAGTGTATGAACCAACATCAGGCCAACCTTCATTACTTCCACCAATGTCATTTTCCATAACCTCTTCGCTAACATACAAATCAACTTTGTTAACACCTTGATTGTCAAATACAACATCCACTATTGCCTCCACACCATCTTTATCAACAACTTCTACTGGAATATATGTAAACAAGTTAGTTCTCAATGCAGTAGGAAACCTACAGATAAGTTTGAGGTTGTATTTATTCCTATCTATCCTCGTCACATCATGTAACCTATCCACCAATGCCGAGTATGTTGTGTCATGTGAAACCTTTATCACACGCTTATAACCATTATCGTATCGTAACACATCATGGTTCTTGAATATGCTACCACCCCAATAAATCATCATAGAAGCATGTCTTCCAGCCATTCTTAACAATTCTACAATAAATATATCAAAAGTTAGTGTGTATAAACAATCAAAACTTTTGCTTTCATCGAAACTTTTGCTTGTTCATGTTTTGAAATGTAAATAAATCGGGTAGCCCGTTCTAATTTTCAATCACCCAATATTAATGAAGGAGCACATTAAGTACATAAAATGGTTGGACACTTACATCAGGAAAGTAATCGATTAAAACTGCTAAAATATTTTGAAAACTTTACTAAATGAAAATGTACTTATTTCTCAACAAGTATGCAATTCATGAAAATAGGTGGGATTTAAAACAACATCCTAGAGAACGAACATGGAGCAACAAGCCGTCCCTAAAAACAGTGATACATTAGTGCATCAGCCAAAATAAAATTTGATCACAGTAAATTCATCACGAAACTAAAAGTAGTGGATGACTATATTTATTCTTATTCAACTGTTGGTGCTTGGTCTTTCTCTATTGCTTTCTTCTTTCCTTTAAATATTATTTAGATGGAAAGAAGCCTAGTATATAGTGATTTCCATGTACATGGCGTGTAGAATTATCATGATGGTAGCTCCGATCTCAGAACTTCCAGACTCAACTCAATCCCCATTATCATGATGGTAGCTCTGATCTTAGAACTTCATATACAAAACAAAAGTCAAGAGAAGATGTAGAAGTCTTGTTAAATGGAAATAGTTCCAGTATTCTTATATCAAAGTGAGCATAAAGATTGAAAACTTCTCAAGTCCACAACATTAATTCTCATAAATAATTCAAATTTCTCATTCAAACCGCAAAACAAATCAAAAGTACATATGACAGGCATATAAATCTACTAAAATCTCGAATAAAACATAAAATCAAAGCAAAAGTTCAGATGGCATTCACGTATATTAGAGTGTATAGACACTTTTATATAAAATATCGAGTTTTTCTGGGACGGCATCTATGACAATAAACATCGATAGACACTTGCGACTTACCCGCAAAGCTAAAATCAAAAACCAGCGTACGTCAGGGAACGAGACGTTCATTACCCAGTCTGTTTTTACTTATAAATTTTATGCAATCCAGATATTTGTGCTTAGCACATAATTATTAAACAACCAAATAGAGCAAGAAATGTCATATTACTATGTCATTGCTCTCTTTTTCTATTATTCTAGGACATCAGGGGCAATGGTTCACATGAATGATTTGCACCCAAGAGGCAGATTTTAAATTCTGAAATAATTTGACAAAGATTGGTTATGGAAAAATTCGATTTAGGGCACAATCAAATTTTAGGGCAAAATCGAATTTAGGGCAAAATTCTGAAATAATTCTAAGATTTTAAATTTTGACATAATTTGACAAAGATTGGTTAGGGCAAAATCGAATTTTAGGGCAAAATCTAAATTTGGGCAAAATTCGATTTTGGGCAAAAAATAGTTAGGGCAAATATGGAGAATGGACAATGTACTCATTGCTCACCTGGTGGAAGTCGCTAGTCGCTGATGGTGGAGGCTGTGGTAGCTGGTTGGAGGTTGTGGTCGCTGATGGTGGAGCTCGTTGGAGGCTGTGGTCGCTGGTGGTGGAGCTCGTTGGAGGCCGTGGTCGCTGGTGGTGGAGGCTGTGGCCGCTGGTTGGAGCTCGTTGGAGGTTGTGGCCGCTGGATGGAGCTCGTCGGAGCTCGGCTGAGAGTGGTTGAGGTGGAGGAGAGTTAAGTGGGAGTAGTGTGATATTTGAATAGCATGTGATATAATATTTGAAATTAATTTGAACGTTAAAATCGTCATTGCAAATGACGTTTTTTAAGTCGTCGTTCAAAATTACGTTTTTCTCCCTTTTATAAATTTTAACGTCTGTTACTACCGTTTAAAAAATTCATGTGTAAAAAAGTCATTTTGAACGACGACTTAACAAACGTCATTATCAGTGACGCTTTCAGAAAAAAAAAAAATTTTAACTTTAAATCGTCATTTCAAATGACGTTTTAAAAAAAAAAAAATTAGATTTGAGAATTAAGTTTAAAAGTGACTGAGTTTAAGAATTAAGTTTTGAGGGGGCATGGGTTTGGTCAAAAGCTCTCAGCCCACCTAGAACTTAATTTCATAACCCAGTCACTTTTAAACTTAATTTTCAAACTCAGTCTTTTTTCAAAAACATCATTTGAAATGCTTTGGGCAAGACCTAGAACCCTAACATATGAGGTTGCAATATATCAGATCACCCAGAATAGATCAGGCCACAGAGCACATCCTTTGGGCAAAAATCAATTTTGGGCAAAAAATGGAGAATGTACTCATTGCTCAGTCGGTGGTGGAGCCTGTGCACGCTGGTGAAGGCTTAACCCCAACAATAAAATCAAACAAATCAATGTAACCATAAAACCAATATCATTTGAGACAAAACCCAGCAAACCCTTAAAACAAACGAATCTCAACAAATGCATCTACATAATCAACATAAAATTACATAAATAGTACACAAAATTTCCAATCAATCCAGTGGTCAAATCATTTAAGAACAAAAAACCCATCAAAACCATATAACTGGAAAAATGCATCTCGATTATAAGCCTTCCAAACTCTTGTAATCCTTATCCGGGGGCTCACGCCTAATAATAATATACCAACCAAAGAAAAAAAATGATACTATCTTTTATCTTCCAACAGTAGTTCGAATGGGTTCTCTTGGAAACCAAAAAGGATGCAACCGGTACTATACTATACATTATATCCCAAACTCCATTACTATACCATACATTAAGTATACAAGTAGTATATTTTAACACATACAGGGTGAAAAATACCAAAAGAAATGGAGAGAGCAAAACTGGAGCACCACCGGAGAAATGGAGAGAGGACCGTCGGAGTGTTCCTCTTCGTCAAACTTGGCTTACTCGTTGGAGAAGATAGGGGGCTGCGACTGGATGGTAAACGATGAGCACAAGGGATTTGAGAGAGAGATCTGAGCGAGAGAGGGGATCTGATCGAGCTTGTGGGGATTTGATTGAGAGAGTGATCTGAGAGATAGAGATGCGACAGAGAGGGATTGTTGTTTTAAAAAATCTGATATAAGCTATTTAAAAACGTCATTGCAAATGACGTTTTTTTCTTCTAATTTTATTTAACGCCCGTTAGTAGCCATTTGAAATTTTATTTTATAAAACGTCATTAAAAATGACAAGTTTAAAAACGTTATTATAGTCAAAAAATTCAAAGTTAAAATCGTCATTGAGAATGACGTTTTACCATATGGCGGCGTCATTGCAAATGACGTTTTTAAAAAAAGACTGAGTTTGAGAATTGTATTTAAAAGTGATTGGGTTATGGAAATAAGTTTTCATGGGGCATGGGTTTGGTGAAAACCTCCAACTCGCAAGCAGCCTCTTATTGCATAAATGCGGAGTTGATTGCCATTTTCTTTCTATTACATTTCTATCTATACTTTTTTCTAGATTTTACAGCATAAATGAACTACACTAAAAATAATCTCTTAAAAGGTTTAAAAGATTTTTCAAAACTGTAACCGTTTTATGTCTTGCAATTATTCTAATGTCACTACAGATAAAGATCTCAAAAGACAAGTAGTTTTCATCCATGTCAAAAACCAAAGTCTGTTATTGGTCACTACAGATATCTGTTATTGGTCTCACTTACTCAGCAAAAACCATTCCATCAAAAATCCAAACCCAAATCACAACATAGATCCATAATCCAATTCAGGTAGCTTTTTAAACATAATTTATATACATACACACATACAAATAGTAACTGGTTCTTCAAGATTTGTATAAAAAAGTCCACAGATTTAGGGCAAAATCAATTTAGGGTAAAAATCGATTTTGGCCAAAATTGATTAAGGCTGGAATGGACAATGGAGATACTCACTAGTGGTGGCTGGTGGAGCTGTGGATTAAGGTTAGATTTCAAGGCTCAGTCGCTGAGAATGGAGATACTCGCTGGTTCTCCGATGGTCTACTTAGTCGCTGGAAGAGGAGGAGATGACTTCGTCGTTGGAGGAGGAGGAGGAGAAGACTTCGTGGTTGAAATATTTGAAAATTTTTGGCCTAGCTGTGATTTGGGAATTTTTAACCGAGGTGAATCGTTTAAATCGTCATTTAAAATGACGTTTTCATCTTTTGTTATTTTTAACGTCTGTTAGTGCCGTTTAAAAAAAAAATATGTTTAAAAACGTCACTTTGAATGACGACTTAAAAAACGTCATTTTAAATGACATTTTCATGAAAAAAATTAAATTTCAAATCGTCATTCTAACTGACGTTTTTAGGTGAGAAGGCGTCATTTTAAATGACGTTTTCAAAATAAGATTGGATTTGAGAAATAAGTTGAAAACCGACTGATTTTGAGAAATAAGTTTTGAGGGGAGTTGGGTTTGGGAAAAACGTCGTGCACATGACTGCATCTCTCTCTCTCTCTCCATATATTTATATATCTGTGTGTGTCCCCGGTCCACACCTTCTTTTGTTGCTTCCAGTATCCTACTAAGAAATCATGGTAACGATTAAAAAAAAAAAAAGATATGGTACATAAAAGTTTTTTATTTTTTATTAAAGTCGGATTTGAATAACAGAAAAGTTTTTTCTTTTGTCTAGATTAGCTTATGCACCATTCGATTAATCTAATTTCTGATCTAATTAAAGATAGATCATCCACTCAATTATTTTTAAAAAAAATTGACCAATGAAACTTTGATGACAATATATGACTATACTTTATTTAAATAAAATTATTTATTATTTATTTATTTTATTCATTTTGACTCTATTATTAATTCAAAAATATAATTTACAAAAATGTTAAATTAAAAACTTTTTAAATGAAATTATATATTTATAAAAAAAACTAGCCCAACATACTCGCCCATTTACTAGTCATGGTAAGAACTTGGGCCTCTATTTCTCCGACTTGACCCGAAAAAAATTTCACGGGTCTAACCCATCCATATACCCGTAGTGACAATGGATTGAAGTGGGAATGGGGGTATAGTCTCCATCCCTGTACCCACTTATAAAAACTCCCTCCATCCCCGATCTACACCTATTAATGGATATAATTTTCATTCTCATTCTTATCCACGGGTAAACTTTTAATCTCTGCCCTTGCTCTGTCCCCCATCTTCACCCCCACCCCTATCCACCATATCTGCCTAAGTCCAACCCAACATAATCCAAAATTCAAAATAAATCAAACATTCTAAATAATCCAACATAATTATAGAATATCATAACATAATTAAAAGTTTGTCATCTATAACATAATATAATTAAAACATTGTCTATAACATAATCCAACATTATATAATTAAAAGTTTGTCTCCCATATAAATCTAACACAACATCTATATAATAAAATATATAGGAAGTTGAATTTTATCTCCTGTACATTTTCTCCCTCAAAACCATCACATCATTTATTTCTATCACATATTTAATCATTTAATATTTGACTAATTTATAGTTTAACATAATTTTTATTTTAAATATTATCCTTGCACGATAGTATACATATGTTGAGGAAAAGAAAAATTATTATTTAATATATTGAGATCTATTTTTTTTGCTCGAATTTTATATTCTATTGTGTCTTCAGATACAGGTTATTACTAGTAATGTAATATAACATAATCCAACATAAAAAAAAATATAAAAACACAAACATCTATACTTTTACAAGTCAAAAATATGAAAAAAAAAAATCAAAAACAAAACAATTTTTTTTTAAAAAAATTATTAAATATATTTGTATTCACAACAATATGTATGTATATAATAATAATAATAACGGATAAAGCAGGATGAGAGTAAGTGTTAGTTTATCCCGTCTTCATTTTTGCACGGATTTATACAGGTATTTCTGTATACATTCACCGTCCAATACATCGTCTAATACATATGATCTATCTCTGGTTCAAAGAAAATGGGTTTAAACGAATACCCATTTTTGTCCGATCTATTGTCATCTCTAGACACTCCTAATGTACCTTATAAAAGGTTAGAGAATCGGCTATTGCATCCATATTGAATTGAAAATGATTTTTAAACAAAGATAGAATGGATACTATTCCGTACTTTGAGATGAATTAATGGAGGTGCAACTGAATTTTTAAGTGCAGGACTATGGAGTAACATTATTTTTGTACCATTCAACATATTTAGTAGATATAGTAAGACAAGATATTGGACGGGTATTGAAACTGGACTCCATCCAAAGCGGCAATGCATGGAAAGGAATGGACGTATTGATATTCAACACGTGGCATTGGTGGACCCACGAAGGAAATTCTCAACCGTAAGATTCATCTTCATCTTGCCATCAATTTTTTCTTATTAAATTACTAAATTTATTATTATTATTAATATTTTCACACTTTTACTCGTATTTTTTTTTTGTTTTGTAGGTGGGATTATGTGCAAGATGGGTCCACTATCTCCAAAGATATGAACCGTTTGCTGGCGTTTTCCAAAGGATTGACAACATGGGCCAATTGGGTTGATCTCAATGTTAATCCTTCCCAAACCAAAGTCTTCTTTCAAGGCATTTCTCCAACCCATTATCAGTAAGTCATTTATCAAACTTTATTACCTCCGATATTAATCCTTTTCGATTTGTTTATTAATTGTGTCATGTCGGATTCACTCGTTTACGAAATAGATGACTTGAAAAAAATTCAAAGCCTCTAATTTCGTGTCGTGTTCATATTAACGGATAGTATCATATTTTGACATCCTAACTCATACCCAACCCTCTACCCACCTAAGCAAAACTAGAAGAGTTTAACCACATATAAAAACTCCATCTCGATTTGTTTAATCAACTGTGTGAAACTTAACCCGAATTTGAATAACAACTTAAAGAATTGAACTTGAACAAGATGTTTGAAATTTTTCAAGATCCCGGATCCCAAACAATCTACATGCCCTTTTTATTTGCTCATCAGTGTAAATTCTTCCCTACACTGTTGATTGACCATATGAATTGTCTACAATGCCAGAGGGAAGGACTGGAATTCATCATCAAAGAACTGCAAAGGAGAGGAACAACCGCTACCTGGGTCGACTTACCCTGCAGGAATGCCTCCGGCAGCCACTGTAGTAACCAAAGTTCTGAATGGAATGAAAAAACCAGCTTACCTACTCGACATAACGACACTCTCACAGTTAAGAATAGATGCACACCCATCGACTTACAGCGGTGAGCAATCGGGTGTTGATTGCAGCCACTGGTGCCTTCCTGGACTTCCTGATACTTGGAACCAACTCCTATATGCAGCTCTCATTATGTAATGTTCTAGGCATTGAGCAATTATTTCCCGCTCTATGTTATTTATAGCCATTGATTGTACAATCATCTTGGAGATTATTGCCATCAGCACATAATAAAGGAATCGAGAATGTAAAGTCGTTAGTCTCAAACACGATTTGCTTTGAAATGAGTAAGCACATAGATTACAATGTTAATATGGTAGGATGATTATGAGACACTGAAATTGAAGTTGTAGTCTCCCACTTTCCCAATTCCTTTAATTAATATTGTGGTCGACTGATGAAGTAACACATCTGGAAAATTGGGACGTTATTCTTTATATTTGAAAAAGCTACTTGTAGTCCATGCATCATCCGGTCTCTGCTTCATCTACAAAAGCTTGGTGTTATTGTGAACATGCGATATGGTGAATAGTTGCGAAAAAAAATTAAATAAAAAAGTGTGAGATTGAAGTAGTTCGGTATAGATTCTACCTATGCACAATGAGAGTGATTGTTTCACTACATATTCAAATTCCCACAGAGTTACAACTAGAAAATTAGTTCTAGTAAATCTGATATATCAAGTCTTGGTAAAACTCCTATACCTGACATATATATATTAAAAATCCCAAATATACTGGGGATTGATTGTCTTTTAGGCCTAGTGAGTATGAGTCACCTACTATTCTCAACATCTAAACTTAGTTTGTTTGTTTGACCCTTTAGCCTACAAGTTCTGTCAATTTTGGTTGGGTTTTAGAAAATATTTCTTACTGATAATTTCAACAGTTAATCACGGTAAATACAACTTTTTTAAATGTGATTGTGCAACAAAATGAATCTATATTCTTATGCATGAATGATACAAAATCTGTCAAGTATTTTGATAAAATTTGGATTATAACTTTTTGAGTAAACTACAGAAATGATTCTTAAAATATGACTCTTGTGTCAATTAAGCTTTAAATTAATTTTCGTGTCAATTAAGTCCTTAAACTATAAAATTTTAACATTAAACCCTTAAATTATCGAAAAGCCTACATTCGTACCAAGACTCCAACTTGAAGATGGCCAAAACATTCCTTCTATGGAGACTGAATGAAATGATCTGGTATGAATTTATTGGCTCAGCTATTAAAGTGGAAAGTACATTTGCATTAAACTTTGCTCTCCCCTACTAAATATGAATTTACTGCCTCGGCTATTAAAGTGGAAAGTAGATTTGTTTTAAGCTTTGCTCTCTCCTACCCAGGTCAATCTGTCACAGAATTTACTCTTCTATGTACAAGAAAGAAAAGATGTAATGGTATAGCATTTCATACAACTATAAAAAAGTTACAACAGAAGTTTTGTTTCCACTCTAATCAAGTCCAACCATCATGTATTCTCGTTGGTAGAAATAGAGTAGAAGATGTGAGGTTCAACATCTATGAATTAATTGGGAAGGGAACATATGAAACGGTAAGTTTGGCAGCATGAGTTGATCGGTTTGCAGACTTAATAGTTGTCAAATACATACTCATTAAAAAGACATCACCATAGAGGGAGAAATAGTCTACACTCATTCAACGATCATTTGATCGTTAAAAATGAAGGTAAAGTATTCTAATCAAGTGGTTATGTCATAAAACTTTATTAAACTTTAGTTCGCTCCTTTTTGGATTTATAATTGCTTTTTTTAGTTTCCTCTAATATCTCAATTGAAAAATTAATGTCACGGAGATTAGTACGAAAACTTTTTAATCATTGATTTGGAAAGTTACGACATAAAGAAACATTCTTGGCAGATTGAAAACACCCTATAGAACTGTTTTGTGTGTCACTAAACAAATTAGTCCATAGCTTGAGTGTAGCAAACGGATGTTTTAGGGAACTTGGCTAGTGGGTGGTCATTTAATGAGTGCAGTCACACTGTTTCTATGAATGGAAATAAGAAGTTTTCATATGATCAAATCACAAGTTTGTGGTTAGCTCTTTTGATAGTGGAACAACATTAGTAGAATCCAATAGGGCTGTTAATGGATTAGGTTGTGTCATGTTCTTAAACCGTGCTAAATGTATAATCAATATTTGTTTAATTCACATCCAATCCATTTTTTTGTAAATGATTGTGTAAGTCCTAATAGCATGTTGTCAGATCCATTTCATGTTAGGTCGTGTTCATGTTAACTCATGTACTTGATGAGGTTGACACATTAATTCATTAACCACGCGAACCCGTTAGAACTAAACTCAATCCACTAACTTTGTATTGATTTCGTGACAAATTATATGTAAAATTATCACGCCTAGAGCCAAACACTCATACCCACAAAGCATACCTGCTCATAGCGTAATAGTTTACATATTTATGAGTGATTGGTCGAGTAGGTGGCTGTTAGAATCAATTGAATGCACTTCTTATTAGTAATTGAAGTTGATTTTCTTAATATAACATATTTGATGCATAAATAATGCATTGGATCTTATGATTTCAAAGGTTCAATAGATAATAAGAGGGTGAGGAAGTTTTCAAGAACATTTTTGAAAAATTTTTAAAGAACAAATGGAATTTCAAATTGCACGAAGCATATAGTTGGTGGATTTAGTTGAGAGAGATGGGAGGTTCTAGTTATGATACTAGGATATCCAAGATATGCACCAAATTGGAATACATTCACACTACAATGGAAAGGAAATAAAACAAGTTATTTCCATCATCCAGATTAGATCAGTCTTGTTAAAAAACGAATATAGCGATCGTACATAGCAAATAAGTGTAAAAATAAGAGGTAGACCGACCAGTATTGACAAGACGAAAGCAAGATAAATATCAAATCTATGATTTCGAAAACTAGAAGGGTGGTTGGTAAGAGTGTGTAAATAAATATGCCAAGGCTATCAAAACAACGGTTTAGGGGCTAGAATTGTATTTAGGGGAAGGGAGAGTCAAGGATGTAAAACTTGTGATCATCGGCCAAAAAAAAAAAGTATGTTGACAGATATCCACTCCACAATGTTGAACAATTCTATGGCAGATTCCATAGACAAAGGATAGATAATTAACCTTTAAAATATGTGCTTATTGCAGAGATCAAATGTGATATTCTAGACATGGAGCAATTACTTCCGGTTCGATTTTATTTATAGTCATTGATTGTAAAATCATCAGAATCCTGGAGATTATTGCTCCCCGTTGATCGTAGTCGACTGATGAAATAACGTATCTGGGAAATCGGGATGTTACAAAAGTGTTCTTCTATTTGAGTTTGTTTGCATCAGTTTTAAGTGCTTCAATATTTTTATATGTTTGACAGAGCTTCTTGTGCCTTATGCATTATCCTTGGTCTCTGATTCATCTACAACAGAGAAGTAAGCATGGTGTTTTGGCAAGTGTTATCTGCCAGATTGCAATCGATCGTACGTAATGTTGTGAACATGCGATATGGTGAATAGTTACAAAAGAAAACCCTCAAATAAAAAGTATGAGATTGATGAAGTTCGGTACAAATTCTAACTATGCACAATGGGAGCGGTTGTTTCACTACATATTCAAATTCCCACAGAATTACAACTAGAAAATTTAGTCATAGTAAATTTGATATATCAAGTGACACTTGAAAATTTAATCATAGTAAATTTGATATATCAAGTGACACTTGGTAAAACTTCAATACGAGATATATAAAAAACACAAATATACTCATGACCGAATTTTTTGGGCTTAGTAAATATGAGTTATTGAACAGTTTTATATATGGTAATTGTAGGACACTGCATTTTATTTTATTTTTGAATAAATAGGATAATACATTTCAAATGAATGAAATTTCAGTCTAATTTATTTTTGGGAAAATTACCCTTTGATCCCCTAAACTATCCCCTCAATTTTTATATTGTTCACATTGCCGTCAAATAGGTGATTAGTTTCATATTGTCCCAATTGTTAACATCTTTTACATATTTAATGGAAAAATATTTCATTTTGCCCCCTTAACAGTGTACCTTTTCACTTTGTCCCGACATATCAGCAATTTCCAACCAAAAAGGTAATGAACGTTTCCAATTGGGTAATGTAAAATAATCAAAGTAGTTGAGGGGACAATGTATAAAATCCAATAGTTGAAGGGGCAAAGTGCAGAAAGGATCATAGTTGAGAGGGTCAAAATATAATTTGCCCTTCATTTTTTTAACAGTTTTAAGTGGAAATATTGTGGTGAGGTGTTGTTGAGTTACTAATTTAGTTGAAGGGAATACTCTAGAGTTGGGAAATAAGACCACTGTTAATTCAGGTAAAATATGAAATTAAATGNTGAGTTACTAATTTAGTTGAAGGGAATACTCTAGAGTTGGGAAATAAGACCACTGTTGAGTTGAATAGCTAAATAATTCAGGTAAAATATGAAATTAAATAACAAACGAGGATATGACGTAACCACCTCCAGATTATAATTTTGCATCCCAAATTGAATAAGTTAGGATTTCATACATCTATAAAAGAGTTACTTTTTATTTACAATCTAATCAAGTCCAACCATCATTCATTCTCGTTGGCAGAAATACAGTAGCAGATATACAGTTCAAGAACTATGGATTACTTGGGAAGTGAAATGGTAAGTTTGGCAGTAAGAGTTGACTGGCTTGAAGATTTAATAGCGGTCAAATGTGCACTAATTGAAAAGGCATGGCATCTATGAAAGGAGGGAGAAATAGTGTATGGACCAAGAGGTTGTCTAGAAATAATTCAGTACGTCGATATGATTCTAGCATTGAAAATGGCAATGGCGTTTATAATCTCTCAATGAGGTATGCCTCCAATGCTTTATATCCTCACAAACTTGTAAATAATGGAGTATATTACAGGAACCACAAGTTGGTTGGTACACTTATATATTAATGTGTAAACTTTGTCCACCTTGTTGGATTAGAATTTCTCATCCACCATAATCACAAAGGAAGGATATGTATTCTAATCAAGTGTTACCTTCTAAAACTTTACTGAGTTCTAACTTTCATTTACGTTTGTTTTTTTAGTTTCCTCTAATGTCTCAGTTGAAAAACCAATGTCATAGAGATTAGTGACAAAACTTTTCAATCATTGGCTTGGAAGAGAACCCTTTTGTGTGTGGCTAAACTAATTAGTCCACAAGTTCAGTGGAGCAAAGAGAGAGTTTTATAGGAAGTGAGGATTCAGAATTCTGAGTCATCCAAAAAAATTCAAAGTTTACTTACGCTTCTCCCTCCCCCACCCTCTCTCTCTATAACTTCTCTTTTATGCAATCATTTTTTGAAGGGTTGAATGATGGATTAATAGAAAGTCTTAGCTATTCTGATTTGATATAGGGAATTTGGCTTGTTAGTAGTCATTGAATGAATGCAATCACATTATTTCTATGAATGGAAAAAAATAAGTTTTATATGATCAAATCACAAGATTATAGTTGGCTCTTTTGATAACCCAAAGTTGTGTGATGCTGATAAGTCATAACTAATTTACGAAAGGCCAATTTTTAGATAAGGGTGGACCTTTAGAGGGCAGTGGAAAAATAGAACATCGTTAGAATCCAATAGCGTTGTTAATGGGACATGTCATGTCATATTCTTAAATCATTCAAATTTGTTGCATCGATATTTGTGTTCGATCCACACCTGATACATTTTATAAATGATCGTGTCTTACTAGGTCCATATAAAATTTAAAAAAAAAAAAAAATCTCAAAAGTTTTTAATAAATTTTATACCAAAAAATAATAAATTTGACCCAAAAGTGGTAATTGAATCCAAAAAATGATAAGTAACATTAAAAGTAAGTGCATCCCAAAAGTTAGTAAGTTTCATCCAATATGTAATATAGATACCTAAAAAAAATGATAAGTGATACAGTACCCAAGTCAAACCTCGCTTCCAATATTCAACAAGTGTTAAATATTATTTAAACCTAAAAATTTAATCTAATATGTTGACCTAATGATGTGGTTGCATGATAACTGTTAGATTAACATTCATTTCTAATGTTTGATAGAACACAATCAATTCAAGGGCGATGATAAATTAGACCAACAAATTAAATCTAAAATAAATTGCTCTTCAACAAAATATATTGGTCACAACTACCACCTTAGAGAACTTCCCATTTCCCAGCTGAATCTCCGTTGTCCACTAATATATATCTTACTAATCCTTTTTTTTTTAGTTCAACAGTCAAGAGTGCTCGAATCAACTTACACGCACCTCGATTAATCATCTCCCTAATCTTATTAAAAGTAGGCCATCCGTGATGAGAAGGAATGATCCAAATTAAGTGCAGTTTGAACTCCAATATGCACGTAGTTACCTACAAACCATATCTGCCCATAGTGTAATAGTTTTCAATGCTCATCTCCTCGGTAAAAAGTGATTTTTTATTCTTTGTTGGTTGAGTGAAACACATATATTATTCTTTGTTAGTTTTCAATGCTCATCGAATATATTATGTCTTAAAATTATAAAAAGTGATATCCACTCCACAATGTTGAACAATGACCTACATTTCTCTTGGGAAGATTCTATAGATACAGGATAGAAAATTAACCTTGAAAGTATGTGCCTGTGGTAGAGATCAAGCATAAACTTAATAACCAACATAAACGGCTGCATTCACTATGTAACAGTCATCATTCTTATCTCCCATTTCTTCGACATGCACACCACTTGAGCATATCAATCCACCATCCACGACTTCAAAATTCACAATATCTCCGCTGCCATTATAGGTATAAAGCCAAAAATTTAAACAGTAGTCATAAGGCGAGGAAAAAATAAACATTGTGTTTGGAAACGTTACAGGAGTCCTATTTGTCAGATAACAATACATTTTGAAGTGAAACATAACATTCTAAGAATATACACAGATAAATTTAACCATTCATTGAGTCAGTTTCTTTAGGTTCTTACACAATTCTGATATGTACTTAGAGCAACAATGCGTGTGTTTGCATGAATTGTAAAATTTAGCACACTTCCACAATAATGATTAAGTCGCCTGACTATACCATGCCAAATCGTCAGAACAGCTGTCCTAACGTTAAATCTGTATTACAAGAATATTCTTTGCCACTGCAAAAAGATTTCGCATTTTTTTGTTGGATATCATATCTGAAAAAAATTACAACTAATAGGGGCCATGGATGAAACTCAACCACAACATGGCTTCCTTCTTAAGTAATTACCCAAAGAAATGCAATGATTGTGCACAAATATGATTTAACCAAAAGAATTATGACTCGAGACTACACATTAGAAGTATTACAACACAAAGCCTAAACAAATTAATGAGTAGATCCATTCTTATCGAGTACCATTTAAGAATACCATGAGAATAAATAACACATGCAAACATAAAGATACTTACTAAGGAAATACAGACTTGACCCTCTCAATGTCTAGAGATTGTTGGACAGGTCGAGGAACTCCCAGCTTAATCTGTAGTTTCATCTCACCAAAACTTACACCAGGTATAGATCCTGCAGTTATTAAACAATTCCATAGTGAGCCACTAATTTAACCCTCAGAAAATCTACAGTAATGTTCGACCCAAAGCAAATATTACAAACATTAGTAAAACAAGGAAATAAAGTACAAACCAAAGGTGGAACCTAAACAATGTGAAAATCCACATATCCAATCTCCAGATTTTACATTATTTTGGGTAAGGTATTATCTTTCTGACAAAGGAGATATTCGACACAGCTCAACCACACCCAAGAGGGCACATAGAGCAGTTCTCAAAAGAAATTGCACCACACAACACACCTAGTTCAAAAAGAATGTTCCCTCACACCCAAGAGACTAGGATACCAAAATGTGCATCACATCCCAAGAGGCTAAAAAGCCACTTACCACAAAATTACATTTGTTCCAGGTGATTCACAGAAAGCTCATAAATTAAATTCCACAGTATGGTAATCCTTGTATACTTCCTTTCCAACCTGCAGCATATGGATTGGCACCAGACAGACCCAACGTAGACATTGGCATGTGGGTTAATCCACCCCTCAACCTGCTCCGACTGGGTGCCACCACCAACCATTACAACTCAGAAATTCACCTAGAGGTTTCATGTGCCTCATTAATTGGTAAAACACACAGCAGGAAAGAAGAATACCTTGAACAGCAAGTACCCCACCTCAGAGAAATACCCAAAGGGAGGATACCACACATATGATTTATTTCTCACTTGAGTAGACGTCCATATCCCACGCAAACAACCCAACTTTGGTTTTAGCCCCATTACAAAAGAAGTGACATCACTAGCAATCATAGCAAGGTTCGGCCAATGGAGCAAGGCTATTTATGGGAAACCTGGATAGCATATACTTAATCCTGAGAGATTGTTGTTAGCCAATCCCAGACAAACATCCCAACTTTGGTTTTAGCCCCATTACAAAAGAAGTGACATCAATAGAAATCATGGCAAGGTTCAGCCAATGGAGCAAGGCTATTTAATTTGGCAGATAGCCAACAAGCTCTTACTTGGAAAATCTAGTCCATGTTCAGGAAAACATAGGCTAATAGCAATCTCATAGGATTAAGTATACAAGGTTCAAAGTATCGGATACAACTCGGCAGCCACCGATCCGATAACGATACATGATTCAAGACTATAACGAGTCTGTCATGAATCGGTTCTGACTCGGCCCAACTCGGTCTAACTCGGACAAACTCGGATTTAGCTCGGTTCAACTCGGGCGATTCACCTCTAAATCGAACGATACCCACCGAATCGTCCACCCACTTTCAGGCAACAGAAAAAATGCCAAAAAAGGCAAAAAAAGAAGAAAAATTGAACCAAATCAGACCTCTTTTACCATAATAAAAAAAGAACAATAAAGTGAGACCAAATTTGAACACAAACCTGAAAATTGTGGTAAATCTCCTTAATTTGAGAGACTTTCCTACTATTTGTTCTCCTTTTTCTTTTTCTTCGCAGTAAAAGGACCAGCATCATCGATTGACTTCGTAGAGGACCCAGGTAGCAGAAACTACTCCATCTACTTCGCAGTAGCAGATGACGATCAAACGATGACTACTCGAGTAGTAGAAGACAATCAAACGATGACTTCTTCGTAGTAGCAAAGACAACAGCTCCAGTGATCACGGGTGGGTTCTTCAAATCCACTTTCAGATTCTTCTCTCTCTCTCGATCGATCGATCGATCGATACACAGCGTCTCTAAAGGACCGAAGTTCAAACAGAGAGTGACTCAATTGTATTTGGGATAATTACATTTATATCCTTTAAAGTTTGTCACTTAATTACTTAGACCCCTAATATTTAAAATATTACACACAAACTTCTAAAATTATACGCAATATAAATATATTTGTTAATAAATTACATTCAGACTCCTTAAAATTTATAAACATATATTACTTAGACCCTTTATGTTTTATTTTAATTATGTTGAATGTGTTTTTGGAATTATTGTGGGCATATCATACATGAATGATATATTTTTCAAAATTTTTTATGATTTTTTCAAAATTTTTTAGAACTTCTATCTAGCTTTTTGAGCGTATCGGCCGATACTGCACCATGACGCCGCGACCAATGTGTATCAGTGCCCTCCGAGTTAATGACCGATACCGTGACTTTGAACCATGTAAGTATAGGCTATCCAAGTTTCCCATAAAACCATCAGAACACCATTCTGACTCTTATTTTGTTGGCAACTACTTTATTTTGGGGCATAAATGAGATGTAAGAACTCAACCAAACTTAGCTAATCCCACCTATTGATGATGGTGGTCTACACAAATATACATTTAACATTTTGCTTTGAGCAATGTTTTCAGATCCACTCCAGAGTCAAATCAGACTCAATTGAGTCATATCTGACTCAGCACTTCCAGTTACAATAGCATTCCCCTTTCACATTCCGTGCAAACCACGACTCCCCCTCAACTAGTGGCTGATTTTAAAAACTCTCAGGGGACTCAACAAAATTCTTTAAGTCATCATTTAATCGGTCGGCATTGTGACGCGACGTCACAACAGGGCTTTAATCTCTCACTTTGTTAAACCTCTTTTATCTACCATTTCGTAAGTACTGCACCATACAGTTTCATGATACGGCGATCGATACATCTGACAATCTTGAGTTGACGAGAGATACCAAGATGTTGAATCATGGTTATTATTGTACATGATTGATGGATTTGTACTCATATGGGCAAAAGCCTGTAAAACTCCTTTCTTGTCTAATAGCACATAAACCAAATCTTAGGAAGACATGGCCACATTGTGTCTACAAGGATGGACCTGCTAAATTTGGGAATTCTTAACTTTTGGGCAATAAATGCAGCCTTGCTTCCTTTTTCACCTATAGACAAATGAAAAGCAATGTCTGCACTCTTTTAATCTTATAGAGTGGAACTGATGCATTCCTACAGACTACCAACCAGACAAATAAAACCCAAATAGAATTTTAGTTCAACATGATCACTAAAATTAGTCTCCCAATATTGCACTCCGAGGATTCTCCTTTATCCTATAGGAATGAAGTGTTGCATTCCTACAATTGTCAAATCATATTAGGCATCTGGAAAAAACAATTCTTTGCAAGCCAAAATATATATAAACATGAGACATGGGGTTCATTCATCTGCTTGTGTCCAGCTGAAAAATTATTATTTTCAACAGTACAATAATATAATTCCACATCTCGTAGTATACTCTAGCTTCACCTTGTCTTATGTAGAATGTCAAAAAGAGCATAAGTTCCTATCTATGAATGTGCCTCTGTCACAATAGTACCTAGTTATGGTGGCTATGGCTTCAAAGTGCTATTAATTACTCCTATAAGACCTCAATAAGTTGCATATGGCAGGATGAGAATTACAAAATCCACACTCTGGAATTGTGCAAAATAAGATGCAGGCATTGGAGGATTTCACACTTTGGACAAAAATTTGATCGACTTGGTTTATATAAAGAGCTCAGGATAGAGAATCAATGCAAATTAGTACGCCCGGTCCACGAGGTTCTACCACTACAGTAGCAGAAGTATTAATCCAAACAAAACTCCAAAAACAGAGATCACGAATTCAGTTTTTTCTAAAACAAAATTATGCAGAAGAATATCAATTTAAGTAACAATTGAGACAAGAGATCAATACAATTAACATAAACCACTTTCATTTCACAGTGTAGTCCATAAAAAGCCAGATCTTAGGTCTAATTCCAAAAAGTTTCACTGCATCACAAGCCAACAAACTATCTATAAACACACACACACAGACTCATAGGCAATAGAGTGAAAGCCCAAGAAGGACGTACCTCTTCTGAAGGCTGGAATGGAATTGGAAGAGATTGCATCCCGGCAAGCTTTCATAGCCGCTTTCGTAACGTCTTGCCTGTTCATCAATTTCTATATTCTTCACACAACGAAACAAATGAACAAGCACACAAATACACTTCAAAGCACAGAAATTCATAGTATATAGACATACCCGTGTTGATCATACCCAACACCCATCTCTACAAACAAAAGCTTCATCGATGAGTTGGGAACAGATTCCACTGTAGCTTGACTCTGCTCAGTGGACATGGCCGCCATTGATGTACTTGAATCGATGATTGAGCGAGAAATTTGAGGAGAGTGTGAAATGGGTCGGTCTTTTAGAGTGTGAAGTGGGTTTAAGGGGAGAATATTGGTAGTGTGATTGAGAAGGGTGGTGGTAAAAGACTGTAGCTTTGAAGAAAAAGAAAAAGAAGAAGAATATTGGCAATTTGAAGCGATGAAAGTAGTGATCATCTCTCTGTTGCTTTGCTTTTTTTGATAGGTTCTCTCTAAAAGTGCAGGCCTCAATTCTCCCGAGGTACCTCTGTTTTTTTCTCACACGACGACTAAATATTGGATTTATCCACAATATAGAATTATTGTATAATGGAGTTATATCGGATATTTTTTTTTTGTTTCATTTTATCTATATCCAATTTATTTATAAATAATATCGTGTCGGTATGTTGGATCTATTCATTTATACAACTGGTGGCTTAAAAAATACAAAAATTCTCTAATTTCAAATCGTGTTTATGTTGTATTATTGGATCGTATTATATTTTGACACTGTTAAATATGACGGTGAAACATCATCATTGTTACTACGCGTTGTTACCAATTAATAAGAAAATCAAAATTTATTAAATTAGTGAGATCCATTAAGTCTACATAATATTCTATAATTAATCAAGGGTTAATTGTAAATTACACATTGAAAGATTGTTCGAATTTCAATTTATACTCTAAAAAAAAATTGTATCAATGTGCACCCTTAAAAATCAAAAATTTCAATTTGCACCCTTAAAGATAGAAATTTGTATCATTGTACACCTTCAAAGATAAAAAAATCTCAATTTGTACCCTCAAAAATAGAAATTTGTATCAATGTGTACCTAAAACTAAATTGATAAATTATACCTAGATTCTCTTATACTTGTCACTTAATAATTTGGACCCCTTCACAGTTAAAATATTATTCCTACATCTCAAGACGTTTGTGCACGTGTAACACGTAACCCTTTTTTGTTGATATCTGTTAATATAACCGTTAAAAAAATATGATTTTATCCTAATAAAAAATTATAATTTCATATTACCCTTTATTTTATGGGTCCAATATATTCTAAAATTCAAAATCAAGCTTACCATTTGAATGTCTAATAGAATAAAGAGTTGAACATTGAATGATATATTGCATTGGACATAAAAAATATTATATAAATCTCTACATTTTATTGGACATTTAAATGATAAACTTAATTTTGAACTTTAGAGTATATCGGACCTACAAAATAAAGGGTAATATGCAATATAATTTTTATTATAATAAAATCATATTTTTTAACGGTTATATTAACAGATATCAACGAAAAGGGGTTACGTGTTACACGTGCACAAACGTCATGAGATATAGGAGTAATATTTTAAATGTGAAGGGGTTCAAATGATTAAGTGACAAGCATAAGAGAATCTAGGTATAATTTATCAATTTAGTTTTAGGTACACATTGATACAAATTTCTATTTTTGAGGGTACAAATTGAGATTTTTTTATCTTTGAAGGGGCACAATGATACAAATTTTTATCTTTAAGGGTGCAAATTAAAATTTTTGATTTTTGAGGGTGCACATTGATACAAATTTCTATCTTTAAGGGTACAAATTGAGATTTTTTATTTTTTGAGATGTACATTGATATAAATTCTCTATCTTTGAGGGTGTAATTGAGATTTTTGAACTTTGAGAGTCTATATTAATATTTCAACATCTTTCGATGTGTAACTTACAATTAACCAATTAATCAATAATACCACGTGATATTAATAAAGTGAAATCACCATTATATTTTCTGCTCACACTGCTGCATTATTGCAACATTTTTTGTTCTATTGATCCCACATCATCATTATACTTATTGTTACAATCGAGATTTTGAATATTTGTAACCATTAGAAAAAAGTATAACATTATTGAGTAAGCATATTATTAGTTTAGATAATTTAGAAATCAACACAATTCCTCTTTACTTCCTACTGAACTGAAACTGTTATAAATTCCGTTGATTGTGTCTTTTTACACTAAATTGTTACCAACATTGACTATTATGACATGATAAATAAACCAATCAATATCTAGATAGAGATACAATAAGATCTAAAGAGATAATCGATATCAAAGTTGTGATTATAAACCAAGATGATAATAAATATAGGTAATATTGATATGTGTTTATGATGAATTTCTTCAACAGCTTGTTCCCAAACACAAGACATCATGAATCACAGTTGGTTGAGAATACATGGGCAATGGGAGAGTTTGCATCACAGAATCATGTATGCTTGCAAGAAGAAACTCCATTTTCGATTTTGTTTGTCATTAAGATTGTTGAGCTAGTTATAAAAAACAATTCATAGTAAGCAATAAAATTTTAAAATATATTAGAATTTCATAAATAAATCTGCTGCAGCCATTGTATTCACAAACTTTGGTGTTTCTATCTTTACAACAAAATGTGGTAGCAGCAGCAATTTCTGAAGCTGAGTTTGCTACAGATCATTAGCAAGCCGTAGGCCTGCATACAAATCTCTGTTGATGCTGGTTTTGACACTGTATATGGCACGATCTCGCTTTGTCTCTCAGCTCTTGAAATGCCCTCATCGTCTCCACATCAAAACCACCGGCAAACTAGCAAGAACAGACACAACTTATCAGTAACATTAGCAAACTGTTAGCATCTTCTAATGAAGAGTTGAAATTAAACAGACTTCATAGAACACTAGTGTGACTTAACTACTGAGTAAAGTAAAGCTAGACCCTCGACACTGCTTGTGCGAGTTTCTGAATCTCAACAAAAACGACTGGTGTTATATATGCGAAAGAAAAACCTTTACCTGATGTACTCGGAAGGCAAACCTTACACCCTGAACTATCAGCTCTTCTTCTTCAGGACCACCACCAACTGTTTCAAGCTCTGCAGACACCCTCTTCATGTACTTCAAGGCCAATTTTACGGATGCCAGCTTGATCTGCAATGTGTACACCATAATTACATCAAGCCCTTTATTTGTGTTGTCTCCCCATCAAAACAGAAGGTACAAACGGCTCAAAAACACAAGGATACCATGACTAAACTCAATAATATCAAAGCTCCAATTATTCAAATTTACTTTTCCCTCTTGGTACACAACTAAGTAAAACTTCGGGGTTAGGGTGTCCGTAAACCCTGCATACTCCAATGTGATTCGTATTAAAGGGCAAAGATAACCGAAACAGTTATTCTAATACACAAAGAAAATGGTATTACCTAGTTAGGTCTACGGGCCTAATCATTGACATTATTTGCAAAAAAGTGACTGCTTTCAAACTTGAACCTAATGGTTGTTCAATCCACCAATTTCGCCGACAATTGCCTTAAGCAATGGTATTGATTATTGCAAGCTGAAACAATAATGTCCATATATAAATAAATTTATAGAAGGAAGAAGCTTCTTGTTGCTCTTCTTTTTTATTTTAGGTTTCTTTTGACCTAATATTAGAAACAAGTTCAGGTCTTGGTGTCATTAAAAATACTATAGTGTATCCTAGTAAGACATTATAAAATCATGGGCATGTACAACAGGTCAATCTGAGAGAATCTGATTCTCTTTTTACTCCAAAACCTAACATTAAAAGTGGTGAAGAAGACAAACAAATATTTGGAATTCTGAAAGTTCACATGTGCACATGCAGGCGTGGGCAGAGCAAACTAGGCACAATATGTCCATCTCTTTGTCATCTAGTAACCAATATTTTAAGTATAATATACTTAGTAGACAGTGTCAATATAAATTTCTTTGTCTCTTCAAATGTAACTAGTACAACTCATTACCAGGGACCACATTTTGAAACCCTTACTCTGTTCACAAAGGGTTTTCTGAATGATGGGTATATTTGTAACTCTTAAGATAAGAAATGGGTGAACAATAAAATCTAAATTTCATCTTGTCATCTAAAATTTTATATCATTATAATGCAACTCAGCATGAATTTGAGAACTTATAATGGAAAATTTTCTCAAAGTTGTGCCCTTTAATCTCATAGCTATAACGCAAACTTTGGATGCATGTAATTACTAATAAATCATGCACGTTGAGATAAGGAAAAGTAATATTACCTGACTTACAAATCCAGTATCCAGCATCCAACCCACTGGAATTTGTAGTACTTTGTATCGCTTTGAAGCTGATTCTCTCATTCGGGAAAGATTATAAACTCCATGCTCCAATCTGTTTCAACCAAATCAATTAATTCTTGCCCAAGAAAATAGAGTTAAATGCAACTAAGCACGAATTTAATGATGTATAATGAAGAATTGTCTCAAGACCCTCAACATCCGTGCCCTTAATCTTGTAGCTATAACAAATCAATCACATAATCTAAGGCATTAGCAGAAGAGTTGTGTCAGAGGGAGAATGTGGCTAAAAGAATCAAGAAATTTACATACTTTTCGAACAAGGATTGCATTTTCTTGAGAGCTGAGGCACAAGGTTGTCGAGGATTATCACGAAAAGACGATGATTCCAATTCAAGCTTCTTGAGATCACAATACCCAAATGCAGCTTCTCTTAAGGCATCAGCTTTCTGTTCTGGCCATTCAAAGTGTTTTAGCACTGCCCTTTCATCAACCTAAGTAGAAAAATAAAATGAAAGTTTGATATAAAACTAAGGTAAATTTAAGGCTAAATTGGATAATATTAATGGGTTTTTCTATAGATTAAAAGATGTACCAAATAAGAGAGCTCATCATCAAGCCATTTAACAAAAGGCACAACATCCTCAATGTCTGTGAAAGCAGCACTCTGTACTTCTTTGATCAAAAACCTAATGAAATCACCTTGTGTTTCTACATCTGTCTTAATCTGTAATCAACATAACAAAAAATACAATTAGAAGGGCTTAGTTTTTTCTCTTTTGATTATTGAAAATCGTCTCAATCACACGGCCCAATGGATTGGAAACCTGCAATCACCCGCAAACTTGACAACAATAAATTCACCTATATAATAATTGGCAACCATGTCCAGCAATAAAAATTTAAAATCCACAATTACCCGCTCAGTTCAATCAAAATTACAACTTTTCCAATTTACCCATTTGGATTTCGAATCTAAGGTTGTCTTATCCTTGCAAGAATCATCAATGAAATACATGAAAAGTGTCAAGGGTACCACTAAAGACAATAGGGACTGGTCAATTATCACTGACAGAGGGACATAAATTCAGTGGCAATTCCGTAAATAATTCAAAAGATAAAACCCTAAAAAAAATGAACACTTACAGCGAGCAAATGTGTAGACCGGTTCTCAATTTCTCCGATCATATCCCGAGCATTGGCCGTCGCAAGAGCCGGCGAAGCATCAGCGCCGCCACTGCCGGAATCCCTCCGGGAGTCCCTCCGCATCAGCGAGTGGTAGAACTCTACCACCTCCGGCACCCTCCTCACCTTCGTCGGCACAGGCTTCAACCCCCTCGGCGGTGGCGGAGGAGGAGGTGGGGTGGCCCTAGATGGCGGCGGCGGAGGAGGAGGAGGAGGTGGAGCTAATTTTGGTGAATTTTGGGACGTTTCTGTCAATGCCCTTTGCGCTGAATCGCTTAAAGATCCATAAGAAGGTGAAGACGAAGACGAAGACAATGTGGATGAGAGAGAAGTGGAGGGTCTGGGAGGTGGTTTTGGGACTCTCGGAGCTCGAGATCTGACATTGATAATCGATTCAGAAGTCTCCGCCATATCTTCTGAGTTACAACGAGAATGTCTTGGCCTTTCTGGAGCTTCCATTGCTTGTTCTTTCTTCACTTCAGCTTCGTACCTTGAATCACTCTCATGGGTTGCCGGAAAATTCATCGGAGTCGTTAGAGTCGCACATTTTCTCAAGCTCTTCAGCAGATTAGACCTCCCAGAGACGTCTATAAGCCCTTGAAATCTCTGCGACGATGATAGTTCTTCACCACTGTCTCGTTCTTTTTTCAACGCTGCTATTTCAGCTTCCATAGCCTTCATTTTATGTTCATTATCTCTCTTCTGTTCGAACATGGTGGTGTGTAACATTTCAACTTCTTGTCTCAACCTCTCATTCTCGGCTTCCAAGCATTCAATCTTCTTTTCCTTTCTGTCAATCTCAGAGTCTTTTACCATGATCTCATTTTCAAGTTTTGGAAGGATTGCGGCGGACTCTTTGAGAAGCTTTTGCTCTAGAAGTTCTGTTTTCAAGCGAGACTCTCTTTCACGTAGTTCTTCCACAAGGCGGAGGAGCTCAGTGACGTCCGGTGGACGAGGCTGGACTTGAGCGGAGGCGCGTGGAAAATACACGCCAAAAGAACGTGAGAACACTGCTCCTTTCTGTGGTACCTTGCCTGAACTCGGAGATGGCAATGGTAGCTTTGGCGATGCGTCTGGCTTTGGATTTGCCGGTGACTTTTGCAAACCCATTGCAACTTTCACCTTCCCAGCAACCATAGTTGCTCNAAGAATCATCAATGAAATACATGAAAAGTGTCAAGGGTACCACTAAAGACAATAGGGACTGGTCAATTATCACTGACAGAGGGACATAAATTCAGTGGCAATTCCGTAAATAATTCAAAAGATAAAACCCTAAAAAAAATGAACACTTACAGCGAGCAAATGTGTAGACCGGTTCTCAATTTCTCCGATCATATCCCGAGCATTGGCCGTCGCAAGAGCCGGCGAAGCATCAGCGCCGCCACTGCCGGAATCCCTCCGGGAGTCCCTCCGCATCAGCGAGTGGTAGAACTCTACCACCTCCGGCACCCTCCTCACCTTCGTCGGCACAGGCTTCAACCCCCTCGGCGGTGGCGGAGGAGGAGGTGGGGTGGCCCTAGATGGCGGCGGCGGAGGAGGAGGAGGAGGTGGAGCTAATTTTGGTGAATTTTGGGACGTTTCTGTCAATGCCCTTTGCGCTGAATCGCTTAAAGATCCATAAGAAGGTGAAGACGAAGACGAAGACAATGTGGATGAGAGAGAAGTGGAGGGTCTGGGAGGTGGTTTTGGGACTCTCGGAGCTCGAGATCTGACATTGATAATCGATTCAGAAGTCTCCGCCATATCTTCTGAGTTACAACGAGAATGTCTTGGCCTTTCTGGAGCTTCCATTGCTTGTTCTTTCTTCACTTCAGCTTCGTACCTTGAATCACTCTCATGGGTTGCCGGAAAATTCATCGGAGTCGTTAGAGTCGCACATTTTCTCAAGCTCTTCAGCAGATTAGACCTCCCAGAGACGTCTATAAGCCCTTGAAATCTCTGCGACGATGATAGTTCTTCACCACTGTCTCGTTCTTTTTTCAACGCTGCTATTTCAGCTTCCATAGCCTTCATTTTATGTTCATTATCTCTCTTCTGTTCGAACATGGTGGTGTGTAACATTTCAACTTCTTGTCTCAACCTCTCATTCTCGGCTTCCAAGCATTCAATCTTCTTTTCCTTTCTGTCAATCTCAGAGTCTTTTACCATGATCTCATTTTCAAGTTTTGGAAGGATTGCGGCGGACTCTTTGAGAAGCTTTTGCTCTAGAAGTTCTGTTTTCAAGCGAGACTCTCTTTCACGTAGTTCTTCCACAAGGCGGAGGAGCTCAGTGACGTCCGGTGGACGAGGCTGGACTTGAGCGGAGGCGCGTGGAAAATACACGCCAAAAGAACGTGAGAACACTGCTCCTTTCTGTGGTACCTTGCCTGAACTCGGAGATGGCAATGGTAGCTTTGGCGATGCGTCTGGCTTTGGATTTGCCGGTGACTTTTGCAAACCCATTGCAACTTTCACCTTCCCAGCAACCATAGTTGCTCTGTAAACGCTTAGGATAAGCTCTCTCTCTCTCTCTCTCTCTCTCTCTCTCTCTCTCTTAGCAAATTTTAGCAGTCTCTCGTTGGCAATCTGGAGAGAGAAGGACAACACCAAACGGGTCGTTGTCTGACTGCCTGGGAGAGTGAGGTCTGAGGCAAACAAGTTGGAGTTTGTGAGATAGACAGAGAGGGTTTGGTTTTACAGGAAGTGTGTGTGTGTGTGTGAGAGAGAGAGAGAGAGAGAGAGAGAGCAGAGAGCAGAGAGCAGAGAGAGGTTTAATGAACGGCTCAAACGACGAGGAACGGTCTTCTCTCCTTGGATCCAGTTTGAAAAATATTACTGTATATGAACTTTTAAAAAAAATAAAAATTTATAAGCCTAAGAGTGTTATTTTATTCAATTAATTATAAATAAAATTTTGTAATAAAATACGTCAATTAAACCTCTAAACCCAATACAAAATTTCTAATTCCATGTCGTATACGTGTTGAATAATTAAATTAGATCAAATATATTATTCGATTTTTTACAGTCCCAATATACATAATATAAGCTCGTTAAACCAATTTTTATGTGTTCATGCAATTCGATAATTCAGTTCAAGTATGTTTTTAAATTAGTTATTTAATACCATTTATTTTGACACGATCTATTTATTTATTAAACAAGTTACATGAACGTAACGTGTCACATAACACGATATTGTTATTTTTTTTTATTCATTTTGTGCTATTAAAAAGGATGGTTTGTCCACTAATAACATCTTCACTCGCGAATTTAAGTTCTCGTACAATAAAATCATGCACGTGTCTCTGAATTAATTCGAACAGTTAGTTTTGATTTTAATAATTTTGTAATTTTAATTAAAAAATTTGTAATTTTTACAAGTTATATGCTTTTTAATGAATTAAAAATTGAAGATATATTATCGGAAATAATATTTAGTTACTATAATGGAACTCAATAATGTGAACAAATAGATTTGGAAAGAAGCAATGAAAGTGACAAGGTGTTTCTAACGGTCGGCTTATTGACTGCTAACGTATATTCTAAGCTTTTGTGGATTTTGGACCTAGATCCACTTTATTGTTATTTTACTTAATATTGATGAGAGACTTGAATTAATATCATCGTAATAATACGTATAATGTGATGAACAATTAAGAACACAAAATCTAGGTAATTCGGTAAAATTCTATCTATATAGTAATGCTTTTTTTTTCTTTATTATCAAAATCCAAAAAGATTACAACGTATTTATATTATAGGCACAACTTAATAACCCTAATCAGGATCTAACTAGAAAATATAGTTAAATTAAGGATCTAATCTGGTGAACTTTTTAAATTATCCAATTCTGGTAAAATTCTTCTACCAAATGTATATTGGAAAACCTATTCCCTATCGCGGAGTAATTTCAACATTTCCAACCTATTATTTAGAATACTTATTATTTAAAGGAAAATAGTGTCTTTTGTCAAAAGTTGATGTCTAACACTATTTTAAATTGTCTAAACTTCTTATAATTAATACATATCTAATTACTTATGACTCATATTGTAAGTTAATATTAATTTCAGGTGAGGAATTTTTCTTTATTTGAATATATTGATTTGATCATTTAGGGCATTTTTTGTTTGGAGTATTAAGGAATGAGATTCGACTGAATTAATTTAATAGTTATTTAATGTCGACTGGATGCTAAATTGTCATTTAACACCTCATACTTGTTATAAAATAATACCATATAATAGGTGATATTAGATAAGACATAATTCATATTAACATCTAAAATGGTGAGAATATTCTTTTAGGCTAAAAATTTATGTATTGATACCGGGTTTCATTATATTAGTATTGGAATAATGGACTCACACATTATACTAACCTTAATCCAAACATTGTATAATAGGGGGATGGTATAAAATGATGGATCAATTATCAAAATCTTATGTTTTTCGTTCGTAAGTTATAACATTTGTTATACCCTTCTCTGTGAAAGTTAATTATGGTGTAACTATACTTATCACGTAACTTTATTATGTTGCTTAAGTAATAGTAGAGACGAGCTGTAAATTTAAGTATCCTAAGTTGAAATTTTGACAATCCTTTAGGCCATAAGGGATTTATTCCTTGTGAAAATCATATTCTTAGCATGGATCGCATGCCTTTCACTGAATCAGAAATAAAATTAGTCGAGATATGTTTAAGTTGACCTAAATATTCCTGGTCATTGAACCACAAAAAGGAGTTTTTTTGGAGGCCGGTCACTAGGCCCAATAAGATTCCAAAAAAAATTCATTCGCCAATTTTTTTTTTTAGATTAGGTTCTTGTTAAAAAGTCAAAGTAATTGATATAACTAACGTTCATTAAAATTACAAAAAAATAACGATAATATTATCATCTAATTTAAACACATATTCTAAAAACTTACGTCATCATAATTTACTTTATTCTTCAAAACACAAATTGTCAACATGTACATTAATTGTCAGACAGATATACAACATGTACGTAATAATCATAAGATGAATACATAACAGGTATGCAATAAAAATTTATATGTTTATATAAGTACAAATCTTCTCCATAAATATAAATCGTCGTACAAGTACACAACATGTATGAAATAAAAATATATGTGTTTATATAAGTACACAACGACTCATATATAACGAACAACATATACGATCATTCAAGTACATTATAGGAATATATATATATATATATTTACGAGATAGTAATATTTATTTGAAAAAAAATTATATATGCATCATTACAAATACGCAAATATATAAAATCAGACACAATTCAAAATTAAGGATTTCATATACAGAAATACATAACCATAAGGCGTAGGCATTCCAAAGTTGCGTTGACTTTCTTCTTTGTATTACTACCCTTCTGATGACCCATGAACATATAGCTTATGCCATTTGTCGATCCAAGACAAGTGACAATAGCAAAATCATCATAACTTGCTTAATCACCATGAAGCTCTACAAACTAAACAGGAGAAGGCTAGAACTAGGAAAACTGATCCACCACCAACCCCCTCACTTTTCCATCACAGTCCTTGTCATAACCATTGTTTTCTCTAGACTCGTCCATCACTACATATATCATTCTTGTTTCTTAAATTTTAGCTGAAATCATAGCAAAAGTGTAAAATAAGTAATAAATATACAGTAATTGTCTAACCCGCATCCAAATTTTTTAAAAACAAAGAAGATCTTTTTATATACCAGAAATCCGATAGGATTAAATTGAATTTATACACAAAAAAAGGCCCTTAACCTAATTTACTAACAAAAACTACACCTCTCACATTATCACCAATATACTTCAAATCACTCTTCATAGGCTACCATATCCTCAATAATGTTGTCCTATACTGGAATTGAAAATGTTTCTAACAAACTGTCAGGTACTTGATTCAAATTGAGACCAATTGTGCTAAAGACATGCATTAAAGCTATACATATTTTACGAGTTGTTACTATAATTTACCCACAGAGCACCATTGAGAGGTAAAGTTTTTTTGAGTACATATTAGAGCCGAAAGCTGAGGTCTTACTGCGTGCGCCAGATGATGAAGAGTAAATTTAAGATTATCGAATTGACGTAACTAAGAAGATTCAAATTTAAATATTGAATGAGAAAATCTGAATTCTTAGTCACTAGACTAACTAATCAGTGATTGTAAATTAAGTGTTGTTCGTTTGAGATCATTCCACCTACTGCATTTAGGTGAGGCAGTTGGATGAACATGCAATGCACTAATTGATCATGGGATGAGATTGTGTTTCGAATTTTCATGAATGATACATCACTTTCACCAGTAAGGTAAGGTTGCTCTGCCTAGCAAAATGGTGACCATTAACAGACTTTGATAGCCAGCAGTTTTCCAGTATTTTTTTGTCTTATTTCATTGTATCTTTTCATTTTAATTGATACAAGGCAAAAAGTAAAAACACAGAACCGAAAGTGTTGGTGAAGTTTATGCATGAACCCTTTGCTTGATTGCTCTTTTTTCACTCATAATGTGTACCCATGGCCAGGTAACTCTCTCTCTCTCTCTCACACACACACACACACAAAGATACACACATCAATCATTGCATCATAATTTGCCTTTTATGGAGTTAACTGTAGGAAAAAGTATTAGATACAATTTGATGGTCCAATTATCAAAAAAATTTTAAGTATAATGATTATTACTAACAAGAGCTAATTGTATTAGAAGTTTCCAAAATATTAAATTTGTCTTATTTTAGTTCCCAATATTTTAATTATATCATTTTAATTTTTCAAATATTGAATATATTTTTATATAGTCTTCCAAACAAACAGTGTCCACATTGCTAATAATTTTTTATCATAAACTTGTCATATGATACTTAAATATGGACAAAAAAATAATTTGGATAACTTTTAAACAGAATTTGTTAGCTCTTGACAAAAAAATATGTAATATGGGTAGCTTTTGACCAAAATTTAGATACTTCATAATCAAAACTGTATAATTTAAGTAGGTATTTAACCAAAATTTGGATAAAAATTTAGTCAAGAGTTATCCAAATTATTTTTGTGTACATATTTAAGTATTATGTGACAAGTTTATGATAAAAAATCATTAATAATGTGGACATTGTCTGCTTGAGGGACTATATAAAAACATATTTAATATTTCAAGTACCAAAATGATGCAATTAAAATATTATGAATTAAAATGTGACAAATTTCATCCTTTGAGGACCTTCAATGCAATTAACCCTACTAACAAAAAAAAAATTAGTTTTATAAAATTCAATAACTACCATCCATATAATATATAAACACCTCTGCATAAAGACATAAGATCCACTTTATCCTTTTTTAACTTTTTTGTTGAACAGTTATATCATGTGACATTATTAATGTGTTGTAACTGTTATATTGAATATTTATTCTCGACTATGGCATTGAGAGAAAATATATATATTTTTAATACTATATCTTCACTTTTTAATTCTATAAA